ACTCCGGGATAGATTACGTGGGTCCACTGTACGTCAAAAGTGGAAGAGAATTATATAAGACATACGTTTTACTGTTTACCTGTGCTGTAACTAGAGCTGTGCATTTAGAACTTATGGCTGACCTTTCCACAGAAAACTTTTTGCTTGCATTTAGACGGTTCATAGCAAGAAGAGGTTTGTGCCAAATAGTGTATACCGATAACGCCAAAACCTTTAAAAGAGCGAAAAAAGAATTAGAGCTATTGAACGAGGTGATGAAAAGCAATAAAGTTCAAGACGAGTTCTCTAAGCAAGGAATCAAATGGAAATTTATAGTTGAGAGGGCGGCATGGTGGGGAGGCTTTTGGGAGCGTATGGTTCAGTCTCTTAAAGCTCTTCTGAAGAGAATCTTAGGCAAATCATCCTTGACATTCAGGGAATTAGAGACAGTCATCATAACAGAAGTGGAAGCTATATTGAACTCCAGACCTTTAACATTTACATACTCGGATCTAGGATTTCAGCCAGAATCTTTGACCCCTGGTCACTTCTTAATAGGAAGACGATTACTATCATTGCCACAAGGAAGCTGTAAACTAACTTCAACAAAGGAGAGTCTTACACGTCGATTTAGACATCAACAGATACTGGTAGAAAGAATCTGGCAAAAATGGAGGCAGGATTATTTGATGAATTTAAAATCTGCTCATCATTCCAAACTGGTGAAAACAGGAACCTGTTTGAAGAAAGGAACTATTGTATTAGTGCATGAAGATAAAATTCCACAGCTGATGTGGAAGATGGGCATCATAATGGAAGTCTTTCCTGGGAGAGATGGCAAGGTGAGAGCCTGTGCTGTCCGCTTGCCCAATGGACATACGATTAAAAGACCAGTGCAATTACTATATCCGGTGGAGCTGGAATGTAAAAAAGGACAATTACAGCAATTGTCCTTCCGGGCAGGAGGATATTGCAACTCAACTCTTGCTGAGATTCGATGGCTGAGTGACGTCATCTCGAACTCTGAACTCTCGCTTAGAGATCACGAGAACTCGGAACTGAGAAGTCGCGAGCTGCTTCGTGCGAACATTAAAACCTTTCATTATGTAAATATTCTGTAACCGTTTGTGTCTTCATTAAATACGTTTGTGTTAAGAAAGTTTATCATTTATGGATTATCCCTTTCAAGAATTGCAGATAGAGTCCCTGAGAAGAAATGATCCAGTGGCCCTGGCCGAACCCTTTGGAACAAGGTAAGCAGTTTTGTTTTACCTTGATCAATTAGTTAGAAGATAAGGATATAAAATAATAATACTTCCATTCTTTTAATGCCCAATGCCCGTGTTTCTTGGCCCATTACAAGCACTGTTAGTGATGGCGTGCCGTCAGCTGAGGGATGCAGTTTGGGTGCTGGCTGAGTAGGCCCATACTCAGCATACTCAGCGTGTTGAGACTCAGCATCTGGGTTGCCACTGTTGTAGCTGCTAGTGATTTTGCTGTTGTAGCCCTTCGATCATGGCGAGCAATGCTCAAAAGTCTCCGTTCTCTTCTGGAATCAATGCTCTGTGGCTGACAAACCGCTGGTCGGGAATTTCTTCTTTCACCATCCCTATAGCATTTTTGATAAATACTCACAATGACTGCATGAGCAGCCCATCAAATGTGCCATTTCTGAAACTGGTATTCCCAGGCACCAAGCTTTGGCAATTTGATCTCTCTCAAAATCTTATAAATCAGCTGCCTTTCCCATTATGTCGCTAAATATTCTACACGTGGAAAAACAGTGACATTGGTGCTTTATATACCCCATCATCAGCTATATATGCGCCACTGTTTTTTCTCTGGGCAAACTCATTGCTGTAGGTGAGGGGTGGTTATAATGTAATGACTCTTCAGTGTATGTGCTTCTAGTGGGGAGAAAGATATTTTGATGTTTACTTATCAAGATGACTATCTTGTAGTAGTAATCACAAAGTATATTCTTTAGTTCTAATAAACAGTGCCATTACTTTTTTATATGTTCCATTACTTGTATTCCAAAGGTTTTTATCTTAAATTCAATTTTTAAATTTATGCTTGTGGGGTTTGCCTTCAATGGAAGAAATTGCAGTCTATTTCTGAAAAGATATTGTTACGAAATGTACAGGCACGGTAAAATGGCTTCCTAGCAAAGCAGGTTTAATGTTGCTATAAATGGCAAGGGAAGGAAGGGTTGCCACATTTGGCGAGAAATCGCCCATTTGGCGACAAAATCGCAATAAATCATGGATGGATGGAGAACTTTCTGGAACAAATTCTTTTCGGTTTAGCCCAGAATGTTCTCGAACACAAGTCAAAAGCTATATAAACCCTGCTGGTACGTGGAGAGTTAGTTACGAGTTAGAGTGTGTCTCATCTAGCAAGTCAATCCCTGCGGAGTCGATCGAGTTGACAGCCAGGCAGCGAGTGCCGAGTGGGTCTTCGAGTGAACCGAAGGAGTCTGCTAGTGTAGCACGGTTAGTGCATCGTCGAGAGAGCATGTTGAGCTCCGGGAACGACTCAACCGAAGAGTCGGGAGCTGTGCTCGTGTGTCATTGAGTGCATCGTGAGTTGTAGCATGGAGAGTCTTGAGAGTACGTGGAGTTCTAAGAACCACCAAGAAGAGTCGGGAGCTGTACTGCGGAAAGCAGGAAGCTGTCTCCACTGTTATTGCCTGACAGTGTGAAGGCTGTGTTGCTGATTGTTCCAGCATGTTTATAGTAGAAATTTGACGACTGTAAAAGTGTTTTGGAGCTGTCCTTATTAATATTGATAAATAAAGTGTGTTTCGATACTTCATCCAGTGTCGTAGTTATTCACTCCAAATCTACGAACTCCATACGAACGTGAAGGAAGAAAATAACGTAACAAATGGTGTCAGAAGAAAGAAAAGCTCAACAATATATTTACCACAATATTGGTGAAGGGAAAATCCACTGCTTTAAATCTATTCTTGAAGTGATAGCTGCAAAATTCTTAACAAAACTAAACAAAAAACGGCCACCTCTAAGTAATGTTATTGATTTATTTTTGGAATAAAAGCTCAATTAAAACATAATATGCTTGCAATAAAAATTCTTTGCAATTATAAGTCTTCATTCTTTTTCTTTTATTAAAAATTATTAAATTATGCCAAGGTTTATATGTAACTACACTGATATGATATCAATATTTCTTAATCATTTCAGGTACTTAATTAGCTAAATAAATACTAATTTTCCATTGCTTTTTGTAATTGGCAACAAAAAGTATTTATTCACTTTTACTTAATTTAGTAAAGCCACTTTTATTTAATTTTAAATTTTACTTTGACATCTTTCTCTTCCAGTTAGAAATCTAGTAAAACTTTGCTAAGCACAGATTTATGGAACATGATGTTGTATATATGCATTATCGTAATTGTTTCTATTTAATTTGTCCAACACTAAACTTTTAGGCATATGTGGTTTAACATTTATTCATCAATGCTAAATGCATGCTGGCATCAATTCTGCCCAGAAGTTACCAACAATTTTAAAGGATTTCCAGTGACTCAAAAGGAAGCTGAAGAAATTGTACAAATTATGGAAGCAATTGGCAGCGAAGGATTTTCAGATATGGGAAAAAGAAACATTAAAAAATTGATTGAGAAATGCTGAATGGAGAATTGGATAATCTTATAACACCAATAAAATAAATAATAATAAAAAAAATGTAAAAAAAGCAGCAATAATAAAAAAAGGGTGAAGTGTCTTTAAAAGAAATTAAACAAATTTTTAAAGAACGTATAAGAACTGCTTATTTTCGCAATGGAGATTGAGCCAAATGTAGAAGAGGACACACCATGAGAGGTGTTTGAAAAACCATGCACTCCTTAACTGTGAAACTTTTAAAGAGCTGCATCAATCATTGTCCTAAGCAAAAATCAAGTGATTTTCTCATGATCAGCTGCATGTGCCACCAGCTGATATCTCATTGTTCTCACAATAGCTGCCTGTACCACCAGCTGACAACACATCAGTTCTGTAAAGTTAGAGTATTGGGTAGAAGCTTCTGTGTTTTTACAAATAAGTTGTGTTAATAAAGTTGATTGTTTTAGCAACGTGGAGTCATATCTTATAAGAACCTACACTGAGCCATCCAAAACTCTTATAATAACTAGCTTTAAAAAAATCACCTATTTATTAAGCAGAAAAAAAAATTATATTTATTTGATTTTTCCTTTTAATTGCAATATTTAGGTTTGTTTAAATTATTCATATATTTTTTAAAATTTCAATTATACCTGACATATTTTTCCCCTCAAAAGTTAACTTTGTGAAATGTGATTTTGCCATACGCACAATGTATTAATGACATAACATCCACATTCAGTAAGAGTTTACTTTATTTATGAATTGAATCGGAATGAATGGAGAAATATTTATTTTAGTCTGACCTTATATTAGAAAATACATGTTTTTTAAAAGGAGTAAGAGAAATGTGTGTGGGTGTACTAAGAAGCATTTAGATGTAATAGAAGTGTTATATATCATTGAAAATACCATGAAAGGAATAATTTTGAATTTTTTTTTTGGTTAAGTGTGTTTGTCAAGTAAAAGATAACAAAAAATTGTTTGATTTAATCTTAAGATAGCACAGTGTTTTGGTGGCTGTTAATTAAATCATATATTTTTAAGGTCTTATTATTCTATATGTATATTCTTAAATGATGTAATTTTAATTAATAATTTTCATATAATTTTAATTAACTCTAATACAGAGTGTTAGCAGGACCAGGTTTAGACTTGATAAGGCCCTAAGCTATTTGAGATATGGGGCCATTTATAAGTCCAGATATTATATGTCAGTGCCAAATATTATTTTCGGATACCTAGAGTGTTCTTTTGGGGCCCCAAGAAAGTGGGGACCCTAAGCTATAGCTTGTGTAGCTTATACATAAATCCTGCACTGAGTTCTAGTGATAAACCATGTTTATACTATTGCAATAGATTTCTGTTTGATTCTTTTCTTTCTTAATGTAGGCAGATGACATTAAAGCAAAATATGGTGGTCGATTTCATGGTTAGCATGCTTCCAGGTGATGGCATTGGACCAGAATTAATGGGCCATGTAAAAGAAATTTTTCGGTAAGGTACTAAATTCTAAAAATATTATTAACTTTAATTTCTTTTAGAATTTCTCGTCATGCTTCTGTATTAAAGAAATCTCTGCATTTAGTTGCCAAATTTTTAATGTGCAACTTATCTGATTCTCAGATGCTAATTGCCAAAAGTATATGCAGTGGGTTGTTTAATGAAGAAGTATGCTTCTTTTTATAAAAAACTCTTGTAAAAATAAAATACGGTGTCTGAAATATGCATTAATTCAAAGATAGATGTGCAATATTTTCTGCATATGTCTGAATTAAAGAATACTAAGTATGGTATTGTTTGTATGAAATAGATTTTGCATTTTATTTTCTAATTAAAATGCAGAATTTCTACATATTTTCTTCCATTGTGTAAGTGAAAAATCATTTTTTAAAGTTTTCAACTTTTTAAAATAATTAGATGTAAATTTGCATAAACATATTTCAAGCAATACATGAATGCATATTTTTATTATTAATAAATATATTTTAATAAATAATTAAAGTTTCTTTATCAACCAGCTAACTGTTGTACAGTACAAAGTCTTTAATCCGGACGTCCATAATCCGACCTCAAAGTTACAAACTTTTTGCACATGCATAAACGCATACACATGCACATAATACGTTTATGCATGTGCGTTTAATGTATAACGGACGGTATAAGACGGTATAAGCCAGGCTAAAATTATCTAATTATCTATTTCAGTTAATGTTGCAGATTGTGTTGTTCCTTAATCTTCTAATTTTATCCAGCTTATTATTTTTTGCAGACAGTTAGAGCAATTTTATAAAAAAGTAAGCTTGAACTTTCGATTATGTCAAAAAGAGTTTCTGATTCTGGAGCTGCCAAAGGATCTACAAAGTGAAAGCATGTTTCGATGTCCAACAAACAAAAAGTGGAATTGCTGCAAAAAATGGATAAAGGCATGAAGAAAGTGACAGAGAGGTCGTGAGAGGTAGTGAAAACGAAAAAATTTCGATTGTCAAGTTAGGCGGTATTCTTGGCACAGCAATTACAGGACTTGAACAGCGGAACTTTGTAACTGAACAAGAAATTATGTCTGTTTATAGAATTAAAGAGAAAGTATTAGCACAAAAAATGAAGCAACTTAAACAACTTACATTGAAAGAAATGTTTAATAAAGTAAACAAAATATTAAGCTTTTTTTTTGTGAATTTTTTTTATACCCAATTGCTCTTTATTTCATAAATTTCATATTTTTAATTTTATAATTTCTTCATGCCATCGTACCAGATTTAAATTGATGATCTATAATCCGGAATCGCTGAAGCTCCGATGAGTCCGGATTAAAGATTTTGAATTGTATTTTCTAGTATCTTTGCATTCTTGTTTTATTTGCAGAACTGGATTTAGACTTGATAAGGCTTTAAGCTATTTGAGATATGGGGTCCTTTATAAGTTTGTTATACTATATTTTAATTTTTTGGGGGCCCTAAGCTTGTGCAGCTTAAACGTAAATCCTTCACTGTTTATTTGGCAGTATCCACAAATTAGAAGTTAAATAGCTATCATTTGATTTTTAATTAAAAGAGTCTTTTTGAGATATGTTAATACACTTGTAAAATTATTTTTTCTCTGTATAAACATTCTTTTCCCGTTGATTCCTCTGAGACTGGACTTCTTCTTCCATTGAAGTCAGCAAGATTAAATTAGCAAAGCACACTGTGGCTCTCCGAAGAGGAATGCCTTCATGGTGGAGTTGCTAAAAGAGACTAGCCTTTAAAAAAAAAAAAAAAAAAAAAAAAAAAAAAAAAAAAAAACCATTTAACCAGCTTGCATGCACACCAAGAATAGAAATCAGGCCAAATTATATGTATTTTGTAGCTGTAACTACTTGACCACTGATCAGCCATGAGATTGATTAGTAACAAAATAAAATTAATATTTCCTCCTGGCTCAAATTATCACTTAATTTTTTCATACTGACTTTTAAGTAATGAAAACTTTAATTCAAATTACATTTTAATATAAATATGCTTTAACTCTCATATTAAGAATTTTAAAGATTTTTCTTCAGTAAATTTCAGAGAAACATATAGAAAATATGTCTGGCTGGGATCATTTATTCCAGTCATGTAAAATATGCTTAAATTTTATATTATTAGTTTAGTAAATAAATAGCAAAAATAAATAATAAAAATGAATTTTTTTTTGAATTTATAATAATAAAAATTAATTTATTATCTTTAGTTATAAATTCTCCATTTACCTGTGATGTGACATAAAGCAATCTTTAAAAAGTGTTATTAGCATATTTAGCAAATAATGTATATTCTTTTCTCTATTTTTCAAGCTGATCATCCATAAAATCTTTTCTTTTGAGTTTGTCGATTGAGAGAATATTCTCTCACATTTAACGACTTCATCTTTTTTTTTATGACTAACCTTATTTGTTCATATCTTTATAATCTTTGCGTTTTTTCTTTCATAAGTAATTTGCTATTTGTATGGCAAGTGATGAATGGTAAGAGGGATATGTTTTTACAGTCCACTTCATGTAAATTATAATTTATATTCCAAAACTTTTTTCACCATTTGGTTATTTTCTCCAATGACCAAAAAGTAACCATTTTACCACCATCATCAATACCAGTCATAGGTTCATTGTAATAGTAGATTTGTTTCTAACAAGAAATTTCTAATTTGATATCCCCCTTTTTTTTCTTATCTGAATAATGGTTGCTAATGAGAAAAGCAGTTTAAAAAAAGCATAAAATCCTTTATGCTTTATTATGAACTCATTATGTGTCATTTATATTTACTCTAATTAGATCTTCTTAGACTTTTCTGCAGCTTTGGTTTTGTCTTTTTTTACAGGTTACCTGTAATTATTACATTATTTCTTACAAGGTATTAATTAGTCCCAAGCAAAAAAAAACAATAATGTTACGTGTATATACGTTGATAATGGATTGAATGCACACAGAACCGATGATAGTTTTATAACATTTACTTTTCCAAAAGAAACACTTTACTGTTCTGGAACTTTTCACAAAAATATTCATACACTTCTTTTCAGTATGACAGAGCACAATCAGTAGTTACCACTTCAAACTACTAAGAACATTAATGCAATGCAATGAAAGCGCATCTAAAGAACAAAGCTTACATAGAGATCTCTCAATACTCCAAACTAAAAACTGAGAACTGATGCTGTCTTATATAGTTTCCTCCTGGTTGCTGAGGAACTCCCAGTACCTTCAATTTCTTGAAATTGCTGGAAGGCATATACAGTTACAGTTACATATAGAGCCTGATGTGATTACAGTTATACAGTGATAGGGCCAGTTATAGGTATACAGGGATCAGACCAAAATATTGCCAAATGGTTGCCTTGTGACAATATCTCTCGAAATTTGGTGACAAAAATTAGTTACCAAAATCATCGCCAGCTTGGCACTATCTTGCAAATCTGGTGAAATTGCTGTTTACCCACAATGTTAAATATATTTGCTCCTGTAACCTTATGTTTTTGGCAAAGCTTCACTCTCTTGATGCCTTTCATGTTACATTATACAAGCTATACTACATTTTTATGTGTAATTTCATCAACATTATTTACATGTATTTAAAATTCGCAATGTTAATAATAACAATCAAAACTAAGTGTTGCAGAAACTTACTGTTAATTATATCTTCTAACTTAATTTTCTGTTTAAAAATTTCATTTGTATGCTTTACATGTATATTTATGTTTGTATGCATCCATTCAAGACACTGCAATGCCTCCATATTTTTTACATCTTACTGCACCAGTTTCATCAACATGTAATATTTTAATTCTGATCTAATCATTAATTCATGGATGCTGTAGATTTTACTGACACTTCTTAGCTCTCCAAAAGTTTTCTTTATGTATTTCACAATTTCATTTGTATAATAAAGTTTTATCATTAAGATTTTCTGATTTAGGATTAGCAAAATATAATTTTGAAGACAGTAAGTAAAATTGATCCTTTGATAAACCATTTTTGGTAGTTAATTCGCCATAGATGTGTTACTAGACCATAAGGATGCTGTACTTGGCATATGTTGTAACAGCCACCATGAAAGAAAATCAGCAAGCATAAAATATGTGACATGAAGAAAGTTCACAAGGTTAGAATTTTTAGAAGTAACAAAATACACTTAGAAATATGCAGAATATGCTTAGAAGCAATAAAGTTATTACAGAAATAAGTAAAATGGAACAAAATTCTACTTAAATTTATTTCTTGTGAATAATTTTTAGTGCCCATGTATCTGCAGTTGCTTTCTGCTACAAGAATAGTCTTTCTGCAGTGCTAAAAGTTGCTACAACTTTACAAGTTGCTACAACTTTTAGAACTGCATCTCTGGATGCTTTTATCCATTAATGTGTAGGTCCGTCTTATGATAATTTCATGTTCCATTATGAGGTAAAATATTTTTTTCTTGAAAGAATATCACTACTTTTTTTCCCTCATTCTTAGGTCAATCAAAAGTGGATACTATCTCAAAGAATGATTATTATGCACTGTCATATTGTAAGGATCTTAAGTTTTACTAACGTTTATTTTATTTTAAATCTTTACTATCACTTCTTATTTTCTACTTCCGGCCAGAATTATAAGCGTGAAGGTATTTATGCAAAGTTTGTCTGGCGAACGCCAAGTATTTAAGTTGTGGCTTTTTGCCAAGCGAGAGAGAGGAAGCAGTGAGTCGAAGCAGGCCGCTTACCTTAGAAGTTACGCAGTTGCTTGTTGCCTTCCAGGCCAGAGGTTTTAATCCTCTTGATAAATTTAAACGTATTGTAGTGTTCACAGTTCTCTGTACTACATACGCTTCCTGTTATTATAAGGCCAATCTTCCACGTTTATTATTTTAAAGTTAAATTAGAGTTTAGTTTTATTTTTATATTTTTACGTTAGACCCCGAGTAGCGGGTCTGTGTATTCCGAAGTACGGAAGTTTTTGTAAATAGAGAAAAATAAAGGGTTTTGTATACCCTTCTGG